AATATATATATTTCAATATATAATAGATATATTTTTAACATAGTCCCATCTATAACAAATAAGACATATTAAAGAAAAAACTTACAAAGTACAGCGAGTATCACAACTGTTATGGACAAGGCACCCACCAGAACGAACAAAATTATCAGCCACAGATTGGAAATCTGACTTTTCTTCTTGAAACTATAAACATAATAGATCTAGTTAGCGGAGACTCTGATTAATCTACTTGCAGCGAACAAATGTATGTTCTCAATTTAATGAAGCAATTTAATGAATTATTATCGAGAAAAAACTGTCAATCTCGCTTTTTTACTAACAAGGTTTTCCTGGATCTTATCGGCACCAAATGATTCTGGCTTCCGATTGAGTAAACGGACCCTTCATTCTCTGAAAAAAGAAAAAATATGAAAGCAATAGTAATCACTAATAATACAAACTACGATATCATTTTAAAAAGCAGCAATTATTACGTAAATTTAACCTGCATGTTTAGAAGAATAAGTACTCTTATTACCTATATTGTTATTATTTTTAATATCAAAAGTCCATTAATTTATTTTATTTATTTTAAAAAGTAAGTCTTTGTTTATAATGTATATACCTATATTATTTCCTATTTAAAATTTGTAATAATATTATTATAATTTTTAAGTAATAAAAAAATTAATACTTAAAAAATAAATAAATTTTTTATAAATAAATAACTAAATTATATGTATATATACATATATTTAGTTTACATAATTTTCAGTTTAGTGTAACTTTATACCTTTCTTTTAAGAAAGCAATTTATTAAATTTAAATAATAACTATCACCAAAAGTAAAGAAAAAATTTTTAAATAGAAATTATTTCTATCACATACAATATACTTTTTTTTTATTATAAGAAACTATAAAATAAAATATTGAAAACATTAATATTTCGTTTTATAATGTCAAAACTATTGAGTAAATATTACGTTTATTAACAGTAGATTTCTATCTTTATATAACCTAGTTTTGTTATCGTATATCAAAATAGGATCATCTTAGCGGTCAATAAATTAAAAAAAACAATGAAAAATAAAATAAAATAAAATAAAATAAAATAAAATTTTTCTTTGGATAATATCAAAATTGATTATTAATTTTTTGTTTCTTTCATTAATCAAGGTATTTGAAATAAACAAAATTTTTTAAAATATATACGTATAACTTTCTCTACATAATTTTCAATGTTACAATACATAGTAAAATTTTTTGTGCAATAATATTAATTTATACATTTTAAACAAATAATGCTTTTATTATTAATAACAAAAACAATAAGAAAATTGTATTTAAAATAATTATGCTAATTAAATAAATACAAAATATAAATTTTAGCAACAAAATAGGACTTACGTATTAATTTACTATTTTACACAATTTTCAACTATGTTTTTTTCCATTGTGCTTCTTTTTTATCTTTTTCTGTTAGATTTATTTTGCTAAATATTTGTTTTATTTCTGAATATGAAAGGTATAAAAGAATACAATTGAAAAAAAGAGATATGATTATTAAAAATTAAAAAATTAATCTATAATTTTGCGGTTAAGTTTATATTATTATATTATTTTTCCATTATTGTTACATCTATTAGTATTATATCTGCAGTCGCAAAGGCAAGAATAACAGGCTCGTAATGTAAAAACTGCGGAAACTTTTCTTGACTTCAACTTTAAAATATCACTGGCTACGGGAACATTACCAGGTTATATACGTACATATGGTGCACCGGAAAAGAAAAGTCAGGTAGACAAGCTAGCGTATAAAAATATAACTTACTGCGCTCGTTGTTCATGCTGAATGGCCCACTGACCGGATCGAACTGACGACACTGAACACCGAGTCGAGTCAGACAGACGTTGAATGTCCATACGTTTACATTTTCCCAGTGGTTCTTATCGTACGTCGTCGTAGAACCAATAACAACGGCGACCAAACGTCAATTTTCCCTTCCGACCATCCGTGATAACACCCACGTGTAACGCGCCTGTGAAAAATGACTGACACCCGGTATCTTCTGAGCATCATTGTTGATAGGACTTCACCTCTTTTGATATCATCAAATACAATAATTTATACTTGTGTCGAACATGAAGCAAGAATGTTCACTGGGAATAAAAAAATTAAATAGTAATTTCTTCTGTATTATATATTCTAAAAAAATATGTTAATTTTTTAAAAAATACAAAATATATCATTTATCTAATATAATAAGCATTCAAACGTGTCATATAAAAAAATTAACTCTTTTACAAATATATTCAAAAAAGAAGTGTTTCAGTTAAACGTATTAAAATGTATTAAATTTTATTCTTGTCTCCGTTTTTTAAATACTAAAAAAAGTTTTAGTTTTAAACTTTTTCAATAAACAAAACACTATATGTTTGAATCTAAAACATTATGTGTTTACATTCAAATATATAATATTTTGTTTATTGCAAAAATTTTAAATTAAAACATTTTTAAGTATTTAAAAAAACGAAGACAAGGATAAAACATTTTAAAATTAAATACTTCTTTTTATAGTGTATTTTATTAATTGTGTGTGTGTGTGTGTGTATGTGTGTGTGTGTATTGTGTGCAAAGATAATATTTATTCTTACAATGCGCAGGTGTAGCTTGTACCTCAAAACGATATCATTTTTCTTTTGAAACTATAATTCTTTTGAAGTTCACGCTGATTAATCGTAAATCAATGAATATTATTATTTACGTTATTTACTCTCCATTTATACCTGCGTCACGAATCAGATTAGAAATCGTGCTCGACTTGTCTTGTAAATGGTATTTGCCTATACGTAAAAGTTAAAGTCGTATATGTAAATTAAAATAGAACAAAGTAATAAAAAGGGATTTAAGACCTTAACACATTCTCTTAGAATCGTACTCTTAAATCGAATTATATTCTAAAAGTTCAATTTAAATTATACGTATTATATTAAAATAATGATGTTAACTAGACATGCATAGTGACAGTAATAAATAATCCTTGTCTAAGCCTTTTAGTTTCCTTTCAAATCATTTTATTTCGTACCGTTCAACTGAATTTCCGTAGGAAAAAATGAAATTGTAACGATTTCGTAACGATTTCCGTTATTTCCACCTTGCGCAAAGTGAAATATACCTTTCGCACGCGATCAGTCGTATCGTGATAGTGATCGGATTACAAACGAAACAATTAACAATTATTATTATGGTATATAGTACGAACAGAGTTGGCACATACCCGCGAGCTATAGCCGCTATTAGGAAGCTTCGTTTGCGTAAAAGCACTTCCTCAAGGTAGTTACAAAGTACAGTAAACGTTTATGTAATTGTATTATACTTCCGTTACGAACTTCTAGTTGCATATATAAGTCTCATTGTACTTTCCAATCTGGCTCAAGAACAAAGATTTAAAATAATCACATGCCTAATATAAAAAAGCTGAAAGAGAATATCTTTCTTATTAAAATTATCTAAAAAATTATATTTTTACTGAAATGAAATTAATAAACAATATCATATTATTATACTTTTCTATTCCATATATATAATTTTTTATATTCCCTATTCTATACATAAAATTTAATTCACATTAAATTTTTTGTTATATAATTTTAGTGATTTTGGTATAAATGACACAAAACGATAAAACAAATCTAATAAAAGAATTAATTATCTTTTTATAAATTAAAATGGATTAAAAAATGTTATGTATAATTATATTAATTATGTTGTGTAGAATATTATTATTATTATATTTTATTAATTTACAATTAGAAAATTATTAACAATTAGAATTAAAACAATTAGAATATAATTAATAGAAAGCTAATGATTAAATGAAAATAGAACCACACATTAATAGATCAAAAGGGCTAATAGATAATTAAAACTACTTATATAATTGACCATCGTTATAAAAAGCTATCATCTTGATATCATAATTTAGATATATTGAATATCAAAAGGACAGGACGTGTCAAGCTTATAACGCACGTGCAGCGGGCGGCGTCCAAGGAAACACGTTTTATCGCGGAAAAACATTCATTACGAAGAGAGAAAGTATGCAACAACGCGTGCTACGTAATGCACCACACGCTGCATTCATTATTCATGCAACCGCTCTATCGGATAGATAGCATGCGATCGCGTATTTGTGCTCCCGTTATTGGGGAAGTTGCTCCAGTTCCTCGGTAAACGGTCAATAGAAAGGAAATTTATTTCGAGTGGTGCCTGCTGCTCGTCTAGAATTATTATTATTTCGAGAC